CTGGGGAAGTAGTCTGGCCAGTATTTGTGTGTCTGTGTTTACCAGATTCCACTCTGACCTCTCTGCACTGTCAACATTGGAACTAGTTCTGATCCAGAATAGATGTACAAGTTGTAGTTCAGAAAATGTTACCCAGAAGTCAAATCCTCAGAGGCTTGCTTCCTGAAAAAGAATGAGTTTTTGTTTTTAGTAACAGTAATTTGGTCTTACATTGTATGCTATTAATGTGGAGGCCCATAACTGGATAGGCAAAGAAGAATTTCACTATCTTTATTAAATAAGTAAATGTTACAGCACCTGTGATCTACAAAACGGACAGCCGGGGATATACAGAAGAAACCCTGCCTCAAACAAAACAAAACAAAACAGCCAGGTGGTAGTGGTGCAAGCCTTTAATCTCAGCACTCAGGAGGCAGAATGTATATATGTACATACACACACATACATATATATGTATATGTGTGTGTCTTATATACTTGTGTGTGTGTGTTGTATAATGTTTTGTGTTCTGACATGTAAAACCTGCCTGGAGATCAGAGGGCAGAGCTAGCTACTAATTAGCCATAGGGGCCAGGCATTGGTGGCACACACCTTTAATCCCAGCACTTGGGAGGAGGAAGGAAGAAGATCAAGACTGCCCTGGATTATACAAGATTGAACCAATCTAGAATAGAAACAAAGCCATGAGGTGATGGCTCACACCTTTAATCCCAGCACTTGGGAGGATCATACCTTTGATCCCAGCACATGGGAGGCTCAAGCCTTTAATCCCAGCACTAGGGAGATAGAGACAGGAATATAAGGTGGGTGGAGACAGGACCTGGGGCTTCCCGCTCAGTCAGAGGATCTAGAGAGTTAAGAAGTGACTGCGGCTGTTCCTTTGCTTCTCTGATCTTTCAGCTTTCACTGTAACATCTGACTCCTGGTTTTTACTGATTAGGACTAATTAGGATGGAACTTTATATATACATACACACACGTATACATATGTATATATACATATATGTATATATGTATATATACGGTGTGATATGTAGTATGTGATTTAAGAGGTAAGGGTAATTAAGAACCCATGTTTGCCAAAGGCCAGCTATCAAGCAAAATAATTTTGTTGGCAAAATGCAGCCAATGAAATGATATGGCTAGTAAATTCATTATTCTATTAATTATTTTTAAATTTTTATTACATTTATTTTTAATTTACTTTCAATGTGTTCGTATTATGTGTGTATACACAGAGGACAATTCACTGGAGTCAGTTTTCTTCTTCACCATATGGGATTTGGGATTCAGCTTGTTAGGCTTGGTGGCAGGTGCCTGAGTCATCTCATCAGCCAAATAAACTCTAACAGTATGGAAAGACACAACACATGTCCATGTTTCTAACATAGGGTGTTGGTTAAATTATCTTATCAGAACCCTACTTAGTATTGTGACTGGTGGATCATGCCTGTAATCCTAGCACTGGAGGGTTGGAGAAACAGTTCAGCATTTAAGACTGGTTGCAGATACCCGGCAGTGGTGTGCTGGGGATGTCTTTCTGTAGGCTGTGAATGTGTTGCTCTGATTGATTGATAGTTAAAACCTGGTTGGCCAGTAGCAAGGCAGGAATTATAGTATAGGTGGGATAAGGAGAGAGGAGAATGCTGGGAAAAGGAAGGCTGAGTCAGGGGATGCGGCCAGCTGCCACTGCCATGAGAAGCAAGATGTAAAGGCAGAACTGGGAAAAGGTACCAAGCCATGTGGCTAAACATAAATAAGAATTATGGGTTAATTTAAGTGTAAGATCTAGCTAGCAAGAAGCTGGAGCCATTAGGCCAAACAGTTTTAATTAATATAAGCGTCTGTGTGTTTATTTGGGTCTGAGCAACTGTGAGCCGGGTGGGACCAGGAAAACTTCTGGCTACAGTGGTGGCACACAACTTTGATGCCAGCACTGGGGAGGCAGAGGCAGGTGGATCTCTGTGAGTTTGAGGCCAGCCTGGTTTACTGAGTGAGTTCTAGGACAGCCAGGGCTACACAGAGGAACACTGTCTCAAAAAACAAAACAAAAGAAGCAAACAAACAAAAGTTTGGTTGCTGTTCTTGCAAAGATGCAAGTCTGGTTCTCAGCACCCATATCAGGCTGTAGCACGCTTTTGTGAACCACCAGCCCTCAAATCATGACACAGAGACTTATTATTAATTATGAAAGCTCAGCCTTAGCTTAGGCTTGTTTCTAAATAGCTCCTATAACTTAAATTAACCCATTTTTAAAAATTAATCTACATGCTGTTGCATGGCTTGTTTACCTCTCCTCCTGCATGTCCTGCTTCCTCTGTGTCCAGCTGGCAACTCTTTTTTTGTTTTTGTTTTTGTTTTTTGAGACAGGGTTTCTCTGTGTAGCTTTGGATCCTATCCTGGAACTCACTTTGTAGACCAGTCTGGCCTCAAACTCACAGAGATCTGCTTGCCTTCCAAATGCTGGGATTAAAGGCGTGTGCCATCACACGCGGCCTGGTGACTCCCCTTTTTTCTTCTGTCCCCAGAAGTCCCACCTAGCCTCTTCCTGCCTAACTATTGGCCATTTAGCACTTTGTTAAATCAATCACAGTGACGCATCTTCACACAGTGTAAAGGAATATTTCACAATATCAGGTGGTTCACAACTATCTGTAGCTCCAGTTCTAGGGGATCCTACACCTTCTGGCCTTTGCTAGCATCTATATTCACTCTCGTGCATGTGTACAGACACATACACACACAATTAGGAATGCAATGAATTTATGGCATTGGAGAGATGGCTCAGTGGTTAAGAATACTGGCTGTTCTTCCAGAGGGTTGTAATTTGATTCCCAGCACCCACTTGGCAGCTCACCACCATTGGTAGCTCCAGTTCTGGGGATTCTGACACCCTCTTCTGGGTTCCAAGGGTACCAGACACGTGAATGGTGTATAGACATATATGTAGGCAAAACACCTATGCACATAAATAAAAAAATAATAAGTCTTTAAAAAAAAGGGATTATAGAAATCCCCTAGGTTGCTGTGGGTGAGAATAAACTGTCCATTGAATCTATCCTCTTCATGCTGAAAGTCTCCATTTCTGCTTCCCAAGTGCCTACCACCACATGTGGCTTTCAGGTGGAACTTTTATGTTTAATGCATATGATGAATGACATAAATTAATCTAAATGTTGGAAGGGATTTATTTATTAGGAAAACAAAACAAACAAACCCATGTAATTGTTCTAAATAACGACGACTCCAAGTTCCCTAGAGAGGTGTGCCTAGGCAGATTTCAGGGAAAATATCCTTTAGGAATGTCAGTCACTTGCATTGGAGGAAGCTCTACTTGTCCCTTGAATCCAACTCCCCAAAAATCTTTGCTATTTTTGCTGCTAAGATGGCTTTCAGGGTTTGTTGTTGTTGTTGTTTTGTATTCTGAGTTGAATCCACTATATCTGATATTTGCAGTCTGAGCAGGGTTTAGAAGCAGGCATGCTGGTGCAAACTTTCAACTACAGCACGTATGAGGCTGGAGGAGCCCAAAGGTTGAGGTCAGTTTGAGCTGCACAGAGACACTCTTCTCTTACCCCCAATCCATTCATTCTTTTCATTTGTGAAACGGGGTCTCACATCTCACAACACTCAGATGGTTTACAAATCATGTAAGCCTCTGATGACAGATCCTATTGAAAGACCCCCGCTCCATTATGAGGACATGGGGCTTTGGGCCAATGAAATGCCCCCCCCCCCATAACTTAGCCTAAGAAACGCCATTCTAAAGGAATCAGAAAAACAGGAGTTCACAGCCGTAGCCAGCCACCCGGCCTTGACAGAGATAACTATAGCCAGCCATCCAGCCTTGAGAGAGATAACTGTGGTCGGCGGCCTTGGGAGTCGAATCAGGATATTTTATGACTGGCCCCCTGGCCTTGAGGAATAAGCAGCTGGCCTGGACAAGGCCAAATCAGCCACACACATACGACCCCAAGTTCACCCTGGCCTTCTTTGAAACAACCAATAGGGACCCTGTAACTATGCTTCTCGCTTCTGTAACCGCGCCTCTGCCCCTGGGATCCCATAAAAAGTCCCCCTTGCCCTAGGAAGGCGCGCAAGTCCTCCAAGAGACTTCGCCCCAGGTACCTGGTCTAAATAAACCCTCTTGCTTTTGCATCTGATCTGTGGTTTCGGTGTGTTCCTTGGGTTTGGGGTCTCTCCCGGAGGAAGATCTCAGCTGGGGGTCTTTCACTATCCTCTTGCCTCTATCTCCTGAGTGTTAGGATTACAGGTGTGTCACCATACCCAGTAATGATAGTGTTTACTTTTTCATGTTAAAGAACACAAGATAACTTTAAAAAAATATTTTAGCAGTGTTGTGTGTGTGTGTGTGGTGTGTGTGCGCACGCTCCTGAGCGCAAGTGGCCACAGAAACCAAAGACCAGGTCCTCCCTTGGAGCTGGATTCACAGGCAGTCGAGAAGCACTCAATGTGGGTGCTGGGAATCGAATTTGAGGTCTCTTAACCGCTGAGCCATCTCTCCGGCCCAAGTTTTATAATTAGCACCGAGATGGCAGAAACGGATTTTCATCAGCTTAACAATACCGCCTTAATTTGTTTGTTTGTTTGTTTGTTTTTTGACAGAGATCTCATTCTGTAATTTACGCCGGTCTCAAACTCAAGGCAATCCTCCTGCCTCAGCCCTCAGCGTGCTGGGATGACATGCACGGACAACCACGCCCGACTTTCAAGGCAGACGCCTGGGTCTTTACCCTGCAGCCCTGTGCCGCCTCGACTCTGCCTCGTCCTGGAGAAAAGTCCTCCTCTCCTCCTAGCTGAGAACCTGGATCAGCTGGATGCAGCTGGGTTATTATCACAGGCCTCCCAGAGCCGGGCAGAGCACCGGAAGTCGCTCACCCCCAGACCGGAAGTTGCTCACGCCCGGCGCCAGGCGCACCAGGCTTTGCGGGGTGTGGAGCTGTCAGAGAGGGTCTGGTGGGTCCAGTGGCGGCGGCCCCGGGGAGGGAGGGAGGAAGGGAGGGGCGCGGTGCACAGCGGCCTTCCGCGGCCTCTGCACCGGGGTAGGCCGCTGCGCACGGGCTGCGGGGCGGGCCAGCGGCGCGGGGCTAACGGGGACCGCGAGTCCCGCACTAGCCGGAGCCGACTCGGCGCCCGAGGGATCGGCGGGAAATGGCGGACGAGGCGTTGTTTTTGCTTCTCCACAACGAGATGGTGTCGGGAGTCTACAAGTCCGCCGAGCAGGGGGAAGTGGTGAGTGCCGCCGCCGCGCGCCCCGGGGGCCTGCGGGCCACTTGCTTCCTTCCGTTCCCCCTCCCGCCCCGGGGCCGTAGACGCCCCTTAGGGGAGACCGCACTGGTCCACCTCCGGGCATCCCACAGCCTAGAAACGGTGTGTGTGTCGTTCGTCTGCCCCGAGATCTAATCTCCCAACCCTTTCTGTCTTGTGTCTTCAGTTTGGTGTGTTCGTGTCTGTATGTTCCTTTGAGTGCATGCCACACAGATTTTCTTTTTATTTATTTTTTATAATTGGCCCTATTAGGATGGACTGAGAGTCTAACTGTGGATCAGCTGATTTTGACATACCTGCTTAGTTTTCCTGGTGCGCCCAGCGCTCTGAGAGGCCCACTACAGCTGTCCCAGAGAGACTCTTCTCCCACCTTTCTCGTCTCTTGACTCAAGATATACCACGCCACACAATTCCAGGGCCGAACCCTGATGAACCTTGGAGTTAAAGCATAGGAAACTTTGCAAGATTTTTTTTTTTTAAGCAATAATCATGACGCTACTTAATTACTTAAAATATTTGGTGTTCATTATGGTAGAGCTGGTTTTGGGAGTTTGGTTAATAGTTTATAGTGAATGACACAGTGGCCTTATCCTTGTGGGGAGGTTACATTGAATGTGGAAGTTCTTATTTCCTCATTATTCTTTTGGAAAACACTTCGTGGGACTGGACCTTCTGGGTAAATAAGATTAACAGTCGTTAGGGAATAGAATTTATCGATTAAAGTATTGGGTCGCAATTAGTCATAAAATCACAGAATGTTAGCGAATTTTAGAAATGAGACAGTCTGAAGTTATAGTCAGGTCAGGAAGCCTCCTTTTTTTTTTTTTTTTTTTGAGACAGGATCTCACTCTTTAGCCTTGGTTTACCTGGAACTCAATATGTTGATCAGGCTGGACTAGAACTCACAGAGATCCTCTTAACTCTGTCTCCCAAGTGCTAGCATGCGCCAACACACCTGGAAAGAGCCCTTCTTTAGTGCTGATGATAAAGAGGGAAGGATGATGATGATGAAGGTTAGGGAAGGAAGCATCCTAGTTAAAGTCATAGAATTATGAAAGAGTGAGTGAGGACTTTGTTTTTGAGACAGTGTCTTACTGTGTAGCTCCGGCTGGCCTGGAACTTGGTATGTAGACTAGGCTGGCTTCAAACTCACAGAGATCTGCTTACCTCTGCCTCCCAGATGTTTCTCAGTGGGGGACTGAAAGTTAGGGAACAATATGGTCCATTTGCTTGTAATGAAAATAGCTCATTGTCTGGACTAAGAGATGTTTGTAGTGAGAAGATATATTTTCACAGTAGTCAGGGCAGGAGGTGATCGAGGTCTGAATTCAGAAGAGATAGTGAGAAGAGAGAAGAGACTTAAGAGGTAGGGAGGTGGACACTAAGCCTTGGTTAAGTATGGGAATGGAGGTTGAAATTACCCCCTGTAGATAAAGCATGTGGGTTGTATGGGGGTGCTGTTAGTGAGAGAAGGGATAAAGAGAAGAGGTACAGAGACTATTGACTTATATGCAGGTTTAACTTTTGAGACACTTAAGAAAAGGTGCAGACATATTGTAAACTAAAAGAAAGATGGGCATGACATAATTGAAAATACCATTAGGAAGAAGATTGAAACTGAGGTTTGTTTTCTTTTGTTCTGAGACAAGGTCTCACAATGTCGCCCTGGTTGGCCCGGAGCTTCAGTGTGGACCAGAATGGCCTCAAACTCTACCTCCCAAGGGCTGGGATTAAATGCATGCTACACCACATCTGGGCCTTCACATTTTTAAAATTTATTTCTGTGGGTATTTTGCCTGCATATATGCCTGTGCATTCTGTGCGTGCCTAATGCCCACAGAGGCCAGAAGAGAACTTCATATTCCCTGGAACTGGAGATACAGACAGTTGTGAGCTGCCCTGTACCCAGGTCTTCTGGAAGAGCAAGCAGTGTCTAGCTTCCCATCCTTCTTTTTCTTATCTTCCACCTCTTAATCACTTTTTCCTGGGGTTAGCTTGAAGTAATACAAACATAGTTGTTCTACTCACGACGGAGTCTTATAAAACAAAAAACTTATTAAAAAGGTTCTATTTCAATATATTTATAGTTGGGAGAGGGAAAACCAAATAGAGAGCAACAGTGATGATGATGATGATTTGAGAGTGTTTCATTATGTAATCCTGACTGGCTTGAACTCCATATGCAGGCCAAGCTTGTCTTGAACTCACAGAGATCTATCTACCTGCTTCGGGAGTGCAGGGATTAAAGGCATGCACCACCATGCCACCTGACATTTAAATTTTTTTCTTTTTCTTTTCTTTTTCTAAGTTGCTTTCTGAGGTGGCTTTTCCCACTGCAGTGGTCTCTGTGACTTCCACGGTGGCGGACAGTGGCCAGTGCCAGAAGGTGGATGGGGATGGTGCAGGCCATTGTCCTCATTTCCAGACACTTGCAAAATAGGTCTCAGGTTCAGGCTCGGCTTTGAGCAAGTGAGCATGCAGGTGGCTCAAACAGAGCACTTTTATATAGCCGCTGATGAGTTCATGGACCTCCATTAGTAGACATTCTCAAAGTGGAGAAAACAACGGGGTCTGATCACACTAAAAGGAACTAACATCCCTCTGCTACAGAGTGTCTCCAACTGGAAATGGGCCAGGAACCCAGAGGTTGAGAAGGTGATACAGGGATTTTTGGGAGCACAGTCTGAAACACTTATGCATACTGTTTTGGTGACCCTTATGTTATTATCAGGTAACAAGTAATGCTGTGAGATTGTTTTTGTTTAAAAAATATATTTTTAAACTTCAAAAAATAAGTTTTCTTTTTAAACATTCTTATTTGTATCTTAATTTGTGTGTAAGGGTGTTGTCTGTGTACTAATTTTGTTCCTGGTAGCTGAGCAGGGCAGAAAGGTGTGGGTATGCCACTGTATGCATGTGAGAGGAGAACTTGTTAGAGTCAGTTCTTTACTTCTTTCATGTGGGTTCCTGGGATCAGCTTAGGCTCTAATCTTGGCAGCAAGCACCTTTCCCTACTGAGCCATCTCACTGACTTTTTTCATTTTTCTAATTAAACATTTTTTTAATGTGTATGGATGTTCACACACACACACACACACACACACACACACACACACACACACACACACATTATATCGATGCAGTGCCAGAAAAGGCTGTCAGATCTCCTAGAACTGAAGTTATAGGTGGATGTGAGCCTCCATGTGGGTGCTGGGAACTGAACCCAGGTCCTCTGGAAGAACAGCCAGAGCTCTTATTGGCTAAGTCATCTGTCTTAGCACCCTGCTGTTGTTTTAAGTTCAGGGGTAGTTTTTGTGACCCTTAAGAGAAAAATAACGTGACATGCGGCGGCAAGCTGTAAGGCTCAGCTGCTGCCAGGAGAGGGGACATGAAGAAGAGAAAGAGAAAAGCCACTGGTGTTTGTGGTGAAAGTAGACAGCCACATAACACAAGGAGGGACTTCAGAAAGCCAGGGAAGAAGCCCAGAGTCCCAGCGAAAGCCTGCTTGCTTTGGGCCAGTGTCTAAGAAATAGGTAAGAAAAGAAAAACCTGAGTAGCTCAGAAGAGGGGCGGGCCACCTGGCAAACGCCCCACCCTGCTGCCTGATGGGAGCAGCTGCAAGGGTCTGCCCCATTTCTAGGACATATACTTCAACATTTTTATTATTTATCTTTTGTGTATGAGGTTTTTTTTTTCTTTTTCCCCTACATTTATGTCTGTGCACTGTGTGCGTGACTGGTGCCCAGGAGGTCAGAAAAGGCCACCAGATCCCCTAAAACATGGTTGTGAGCCACTGTGTGGTGCTGTAATTTAATCTGGGTCCTCTGGAAGAGCAGTCAGTACCTTTAACTGCTGAGCCATCTCTCTAGCCCTTAATATATATTTTTTAAAGACTGAAACCATTCTTGACAGGATTATATGTCATTTTAGAAATACCTATTTATTATTTGTGTGTGTGCACCCATGTGCTATGATACACATGTATATGTCAAAGGGCAGCTTTCAGGAATCAGGTCTCTCCTTCCATTGTGTGGGTCCTGGATATTGAACTCAGGTTTGTAAGGTTTGGCTGTAATTGACCTTTACTGTCTGTCCTAATTAGCTCTAATTGTCAACTTGACACAGCCTAGACTAATGCTGAAACTCTTTAATACAGTTCCTCATGTTGTGGTGACCCCCAATCATAAAAATATTTTCATTGCTACTTTATTACTGTAATTTTGCTACTATTATGAATCATAATGTATCTGATATGCAGCATGTCTGATATGCGGCCCTTGTGAAAGGGTTGTTCAATCCACAAAGGGGTGACTCTTGGTTGAGAGCCGCTGGCCTGGAGTTAGATATCTGAGTTTCAAGCCTGGATTGAGGAGTTGCCTAGATCTGATTGGCCTGTGGCTATGTCTGTGGAGAGTTGTCTTTGTTTTTAACCAATGCAGGAGAGCCCAGTCCATTGTGGGTGGCACCATCCCTACTCAGGTAGTCCTAGGCTGTGTAAGAAAGCTAACTAACCTGTGAATAAGAAAGCTGGAAAACATGGTTTCTTTGTTGAGTTCCAGCTTGACTTCCTCAGTGGTGCACTGTGATGTGGAAGTGTGAACGAAGTAATACCTTTCCTACTCTTAAAGTTTCTTTGCTCATAGGTGATATGATCATAGGATTTGAGTGTCTGTATAACTACAGTCCCTGCTAATAAATATGTTCCTGGATGATTCTGCAAAAATAGATTGTTTCCCTACTCTCAGGATTCCTTAGTAGCCTGTAGTTCTTTGTCTAGGGTTGAGGCCTCAGGAGCTTTCTCTCTTCCACATTAGCCTGTTTATTGGTTCTATTAGTTGTCCTTGTTCAGGTCATATTTAGGCAACCATGTTGGTAAGACTTCATGGGTGTATCTTCTGACATTTCTAGGATACACAATCTCAGCAAACTTCCTGTTCCTCTGGCTCTTACAATCTTTCTGCCTCCTCTTCGGCAATGATCCCTGAGCCTCAGGTGCAGGAGCTGTGTTGTAGATGTATCAGTTGGGACTGACTCTACCACTCTGCATTTTGAACTGTGTGTAATGGTCTCTGTCTGTTGCAAGAAGAAATTTCCTTGGTGAGGGGTAAGGACTACATTTTATATCTAAAGATTTTGAGCTAGGAACTTCAAATGAGAAGGAATATGTGATGTTTGTCTTTCTGGGTTACTTCACTCAATATGGTCTTTTAGTTCTACCCATTTACTGGTGTAGTCCCTTGAGAAGAATGTGCAGAATCTTGCTGAGTGGAGAGGTTGGATATGGCATTTCTTACAGTCTTTCTGCCCTTTCTTCTGCAATGATCTCTGAGCCTCGAGAGGAGAGTGTATGATATAGGTGTCCTGTTTAGGGATGAGCACTCTGCAGGCTTAGTGTCCTCACTGTGACCAAGGTGAGTCTTTGTTAATCACTGTTGACTGCAAACAAGTCTCTGTGGGTTGAGAGATGCAGTAATCTATGGATGTAAAGACGAATCATTAGGCCTTGGTTTAGTACTGTGCCCATTTAGCAGAGTCACAGTATAGTAGTAGGTTATCCCCTAGGGATTCT